AGGCTAGGGGAATGTCAAGGGGGGAAAAAAGGAGACATATGTAATACTCTTTGTAATACTTTAAGCAATAAAACAAAATATAAAAAAAAATCCACTCATCCAAGTCAACTGATATGTATTCCATAGCTGAAGAGACTCCCTTCATTTTAATTCTGAAATTATGTTTTCAAAACAAGATGTATAATGTTCTAGAAATATGCCATCAGATGGAAATACTTTATTCCTTAGATATGCACTCAAAATCTATAAAATTTAAATAAATCTCACTAGTAAACATTACTAATACAGTAAATTTTATAAAATATTATGTAGGCCAAAGATAGAATTTAGATTTTTCTCTACTGGTCAGAGCTTATCTCCAAATCTCAGACATGCTCAAGGCTATAAGAGATTACTATATGACAAAATTGAAAATAGATGGCTAAAAAGCACCATTATGTTAAGCAATTCATAAGTGAAAAAGTAGAAATCTCTGAGTAATCATTTAAGCAAGAGAAATGGGCATTTTTACTTTAGTCCTATGGTTAATTCTGTCTTAACACTATCCTTGGACTGGTTTGAGACCAGCACCTATGTATTTGTTGATTAAATGACCCAACTCTCTAAACGTCAGTAAATGTATGTTTCAGATTCCCACCACATGCCACATAAATTCCTCACATCCCTGGTTCTTGCCTATACAGTCAAGGTCATATCACAATACTTCTCTTACCTGTTTACCATCCAGGGTGTACAGGCGTTTCACCACTCCTGAGTCCAGCTTGATGGCATCAGTTATATCAGTGAGAACCTGCTCAAAGGAATGAGCAGTTTTCTTGTTCAGCAGAATCCGGACAGCTTTCCGTGGCTTCACCCCACTTCTGATGATGGTGACAAGTTTGGGCCGAATGAAATCCTTATTCTCCCGCACCTCTGAAGGGCTCCCTTTGGCAGTAGCCAGTGATGACACTGCCCGGGATGCTGAGGTGGTTTTGACATTCACAGACCAGTTGGGGTTCACGTTCTTGGTGTACTCCAGTTTCTTGAAAGGCTCTATTGAGCCACACACATAACTCTCTCCTAAGGAAGAGAGAAATACATTTAAATTTACTCTAAGGTAAACTCACTCCCTTTTTCATAGTCTTTCATTTTTTTCCTTTTCTACTTAGGGATGAGAGTTACTCATGACTTTTTTAAAATTTTTTTAAAATATATATTTTATTAATTTTTTACAGAGAGGAAGGGAGAGGGATAGAGAGTTAGAAACATCGATGAGAGAGAAGCATCGACCAGCTGCCTCCTGCACACCCCCTACTGAGGATGTGCCTTCAACCAAGGTACACGCCCTTGACCTGAATCGAACCTGGGACCCCTCAGTCCCCAGGCCGACGCTCTATCCAGTGAGCCAAACCGGCTAGGGCTACTCATGACTTTTTAAACAATGCAAGCATGATTAATAGTTAGTGAAAAAGAAAGATTTTTTACTTCTAATTTGGCTCTGTCAGCAACAGACTGGTATCCTGAGGGGGAAACATCACCACTCCTCCCTTTCTTCATCTTCAGATTGGTGATAGAAATATTGTTATTCATAATAGGAAGTATTCTTTGAAATTTAGAAATATTTATATTTGCAGAAAACTTCAAAATCAGAGGTACCTATATTTGCCACCTGAAATAATGTAAAATCTAAAACTGGGTAAAAAAACAAAACAAAAAACCCCCACTTCTTAAAATAGCTATGTAATTGCCCTAGCCAATTTGGCTCAGTGGATAGAGCTTCAGCCTGCAGACTGAAGGGTGCTGGGTTCGATTCCGGTCAAGGGCACACGCCTGGGTTGCAGGCTTGATCCCCAATAGAGGTGTGTAGAAGGCATACAATCAATGATTCTCTCTCACCATTGATGTTTCTATCTCTCTGTCCCTCTCCCTTCCTCTCTGAAATCAACAAAAATATGTTTTTTACATAGCTATGTAATTTATAAATTTGATGGGAATGTTTGCTAAACATTTTGTAAAATCAAGTAGAATTCCAAAAGCAAGCAGAATAATCATCCTCCCTCTTCTCCCACCTACACAGAGCAAGCATAATGATCCACACACAATAGGAAGCCAATTCACAACTGTTTATAAATAAAAGGTTTTGAGAATGGTCAACTTACAAACTGCAGCTTCATAAACTCAATCTAAAACAAATATATAAGATGAATAAGAATGGAGGAACTAATGGTATGGTGACTATAGTTGATAATACTGTATAGTATAAAAGAGAGTTCTTTCTAAGAGAATAGGACTTAAATGTTCTCACACAAAAAAAGGATAAAATATGTGAAGTGATAAAATAGGAGGAATCCTTTTAAAATGTGCAATTTAAATATTTTACAATTTTATTTGTCAATTATACCCTGATAAAGCTAAAAAAATAAATATTTTTTTATTAAAAAATACTCCTTAGTAGAGAATTATTCAAAGAGAACATTACTCAGACTATTAAGTAGATGTGGATCACTCACAAAAAAAAACTAATACACATTCCAAGCAATGACAAATTATAAAATGATTGACCTTAAATATACATATTTCATAAATTTAGTCAAAGCATTTTGAAATTAAAGATTTTATAATGGCTTTTTTCTGTGTTAATATGTCTTTGTAACTGAAAGTAGTTAAAAATGAAGCATTCATAATTGCAGGTAAAGTGACCTAGGATTAATCCTACACAGTCCATTTACTTTTATCTAAAGCCTTTTCCTATTTTTAAATTAATAGTGCAAGCATCCAAGGAGACAGGATAAGTATTCACATAAAAAGAACTGAACTAGGGTTTCAAAAATAGAAAAGTACAATTATACAGGTTATCAGATATTTACTTTGCAAATGTTTATAAAATATACTCCAATGTGTGTTTACACATTATGGAGTGGTACAAATATTACCAATTTAGCAATCCGCCTTTCGATCCACCTACCAGATCATGACTGGTCCCAACTATGCTGTTCTCACTATTTATGCAGATATCAAACACATATACATGGGCTCCCTGATCTTTGTGGCTCAGTTGGTTGAACATCATCCCATGCACCAAGAAGTCACTGGTTCGATGCCGGGTCAGGGCACATGCCCAAGTTTTGGTATCCATCCCTGGTCAGGTCTCATGCGGGAGACAACCAATCAATATTTCTTTCACATCAATATTTTTCTCTCTCTCTTCTTCAATAAAAACATATTTTAAAACAAACATTCAGGGACTGCAAGAACTGTGTGTTTCTGAAGGCTCTGTGGAGAGACAGTGTGCATGTAACAGAGGGAAGAGAGAACTGGAAGTCTGGGCTCAATACTTGGCCTCTCCACAAATGTGACTGTGGGCAAGTCCCCTTGTCTTCTTGAGGGTAGTTTATTTTTCTATCAGTGAAGGCTACCCCAGTGGTCACTTTTATTTCACCAGGTTTTAATAAAGATCAAATAAGATAGTAAAGGTCAAAGTGATCTCAAATACAAAATTGCTACACAAATGAAAAACATCTGAGGCTTCAGTAAGCCTGAAAGGAAAATTAAAAAATGAAATTACTAGAAATCAGTAAGCAGGTTTTATATTATAAGGTGTTCATTGTTTCTAGCTACGTAGTTACCATTAAAATCACTTTGGCTCCACCTTATTGTGAGAATACCCCAAACATTCCCCGAGAAGACTTTGGTGAAACTGGTCTGTCAGAATTCTGTGCTATTCAGAGATACACAATTGTCTAATTATTTGTTAAGTTTATATACTATTTGTTAAGCTACTAATTAAAACAAAAGCATGGAGTGGTTTACACCTCAACAAAGGAAACTTTTTAACTTTAAAAAATAAAATAATTAGAAAAAGGAAGAATTTTAAAGTACTCACATAACAATATGGAATGGGTTTGTTGAAAGAGGAAAAAACACTTATTTTTCACATCTTCTTAGATAAAGCATACTGAAAATTCTTAAAAGCAAAACTGGTTTGTTTCAAGTAACAACAATGAGATGAAATTTGTACTTAACTTATTCTGTCACTTTGAGGACCCTCTGCCTGGTTTATCAAATTTAAAGACTGGAATGAAACCTTGGAGAAAGGTGTGAGAGTCCAGTAAAGAATGATATTGTGCAAGGAGGAAAGTGACAGCTAAAGGGAAAGGAAGGAGCTGATCAGCAAACCCAACATCACACACCATGCAGCTCTGTCATTTAAAATCTACTACATTATTCAGAAATTCAGGAAAAGTCAAGATAGGTTTCCTTACGTTAATAAGCTTCCATTTAATTGTGCAAATATAATTACATTAAACATATTTATATTTGACAAAGGAGGCAAGAGCATACAATGGAGTCAAGACAGTCTCTTCAATAAATGGTGCTTGGAAATTTGGTCAGACATGCAAAAAAATGAAACTAGATCACCAACTTACACCATACACAAAAACAAACTCAAAATGACTAAAGGACTTAAATGTAAGATGGGAAACCATAAAAATCCTACAAGACTCCATAGGCAGAAAAATAGCAGACATATGTTGAAGCAATATCTTTACAGATACAGCTTCTAGGGCAATGGAGACTAAGGAGAAAATAAACAAATGTGATTACATCAAAATAAAAAGCTTCTGCACAGCAAAAGAAACCAACAAAACAACAAGAAAGCCCACTGCATGTAAGAACATATTTGCCAATGATATTTCCAATAAGGGTTTAATCTCCAAAATTTACAGAGAACTGATACAACTTAACAAAAGGAAGATAAACGATCCAACCAAAAAAGGGCAAAGGATCTAAATAGATACTTTTTGAAAGAGGACATACAGAAGGCCCAGAGACACGTGAAAACATGCTTAAAGTCACTAATCATCTGAGAGATGCAAATATGCAAATCAAAACAAAAATGAGATACCATCTCACACCTGTCAGAATAGCTATCATCAACAAATCAACAAATGACAAGTGCTGGCGAGGATGTGGAGAAAAAGGAACCCTCTTGCACTGCTGGTGGACTGGTGCAGACTGGTGCAGCCACTGTGGAAGACAGTATGGAGTTTCCTCAAAAAGTTAAAAATGAACTCCCATTTGAATCAGTAATCCCACTTCTAGGACTATATCCCAAGAAACCAGAAACACCAATCAGAAAGGATATAT